CAACGTTTGAAGATAATGAGGAAAACATCAGATAAAATGTAGTTGGCTCACTTGTAACAATTATTTATATGCATATATATATACTCATATCTACTTTTAACTGCAAAAGACTGCTCTAGACAACATTTTTTCTATGTAGTGAATATCCTACTCAATAAGTTATCATTTGATTGCGTCATCAAAAGTCTGTATGACGTCAGAAGGGCTGGCAAACTAGCCGTGCGAATTTCCACTGTAGCGGACGGGCTGAGTCACATGTATTGCTTCAACTTCACGATGGGTGTCATGGTAACAAGCCCTGCGTTTCCAGAGCCCAAATATCGTTGTGTGCGAATGTTTCGGCCCTTTTTCTTGGCGTTCTTCCATACAAATCTGTTATTTTACGTTATTTACTTGCATCCACATGCTCGCTTAAAGGGTATGTTCCACTTTAGGATATACGGAAGCAAACATCAGATATGATGGAACAAGCTCAATTATCAATATTAGCACGTCTAAGTGGAAAATGCTGCTCTAGACAACCAAAGTTCATCGCAAGTAAACGTTATCTTCAATGCGGCATTGTTTGGTTAGGTCATTGTGCCTACATACGATGCACAACATTGCGTACCTTGCACAACATTGACTGGGAGCCAACTGACGGCCGTTACATTTAGTAATCGTGCTTGCGAACGCCAGATATGAACAACTGGACAATTATATTTGTATTGGTCTTGATCGCCGCATAGCCAATGGAATGGAATGATTTTGAATGACGTATGGTGTTATGGGTGTTCACGGCGGTTGCATGACGAAGTCTGTGGACACTTGACACATCATTCTGAAGTTTGATCTTGTTTGACCACAACGTCATGACCTAGGAACATCAAATTTTGACACTAGTGATTTCACGTGCAGACATATCTACCTGTGACAGTGCCTCTAGCTATCCTAGTTTTCGAGAGTCAGGGGACGTCAATTTGACCTCCACCCAAGCGAAGGGTATTCAACCAGCCACCCGGGCGCGTGTTCGGTGATGTTTTGAATCCATGCCAGCAGAACTGAACATTGCTGAAAGAGTGATTTGCGCCACGCTGGGCGACGTTCCATGCAGCGGTGCCGGAAATCAATACAGCCATGATGTTTGCATCCCTTCAATAAACAGACACTTTCGCGGGCGGCTGAAGACCGTGGGCTGGGAACGAGCAATCGATAGGCAGTCGAGAGCAGTTTGATTATTTTGTTAAGACACATGGGCACGGTGCTAATGAGCCAATCGATTCCGCGCCCGTTACATCGCCAATCTTCTCGCCGATCTCAACCCAGGGGTTCGCTGTTGGCGAATTTTGTCTAGCATTCGACTGACTCGCAGTTTATAAAGGGAGTATTCTACCTTTTTGCGCTTTTCATTTATTGCTGCATCAGACACGCACGATTTGATCAGTAATACCAGTTTTCCTCGAAAACCCTTCTGAATGGGCTAGACTTTCGATTTGAAGTGGCCGATCCTGCCGGAGATATCTGGCTCCCTGCTCATCGCTATGAAAGTATTACATTACATTTGCCTTGTTTTTCTTCCAACGTGGTGTGTTGAGTAATGTTTTGCAACAACCTTATGTTTCAAAATGTTTGTGTAACAAATCCTACCAAAGGTTGGAACACTGTTTGGCCAAAAGACACACATCCATGACTATTGCTTCATGACTATTGCACGACACACGACTATTGTTTCGCCAATTCAACGAAACGTTGTACCATGGCCTTGATTTCTCACGTTCACCGCAGTGGCTCTTTTCGAGGCGCACTTAGATGTTTTGGAATAGGAGCATCACATGAGTCATGTGACGCACTAGTTCAGGCTTCAACAATCACAAACGATCTTTTATTCGCACCAGTAGAGGCACGCACGGTGGTTATGACGACGACGGTCGCTACTGCAGGGAAGAAGTGTGGTGCTGTCACAAAGCGTCGACAGCATAATTTGGACTCGAAAATGACTAAAATTGATATCCTAATGATTTTTTCACGGCGCTGCTCTGGCATTACCCAGTGCTCTTATTGTTTATTGGGCGAAACTAGTCCTCAGGTTTCAAGAGACTATGGTTTTGACATATGCCCCAAAGGTTGGAGACTCCCTTTACCGATGTTATCCGAGCTCCGCGTCCCTCCCCCACGATGGGATAAGTCTGAACGACTCGCGGCTTGCTGTCCAGGTTTGTCTCAGCCCCCGCCTTCCTCACGCCCAGGTTTGTCTCAGCCCCCGCCTTCCTCACGCCCAGGTTTGTCTCAGCCCCCGTCTTCCTCACGCCCAGGTTTGTCTCTTAGCCCCGGCCTTCCTCACGCCCAGGTTTGCCTCAGCCCCCGTCTTCCTCACGCCCAGGTTTGCCTCAGCTCCCGCCTTCCTCACGCCCAGGTTTGTCCCAGCCCCCGCCTTCCTCACGCCCAGGATTGTCTCAGCTCTCGCCTACCTCACGCCCAGGCTTGTCTAAGCCCCCGCCTTCCTCACCCGCAGGGTCAGGGGGTTCGGAGCTCTGGTAAAGCTCATTAGGGTGTTCCGCATGGCTGCCAGTGCCGCCCCCACGTGCACCGCACGACACCATGTGGGGGCGAGCTGCTGACACCGCAGGAGGAAACGGACGGGTCCGCGCCGGGTTATGCAACTCGTGCAGTTGAGAAATACGACCCAGTAACAGCACCGCGGCATGGGGCCGGCCGTTTCGCCACAGGCATTTATTCCCTGGAGATGGCGTATTATTCACAACAGTGAGTATGACAGATTCCGCTTACCCACTTCCGCGTGCACCCAGTTAGCGCCGATCGAATAACGAGTGTTGGAAATAGCATGATTTCCCGCTTTTGGAACGCTAAGACATCATGTTTGCCATGATTCTTCCACTTATTCAGCCCATCGTCAGGTTTGTGGTTGTGCAGAGAATGCCACTGTTGCTGGAACATCTCACGAGCGTTTGGGTTCTAGTGGCGAGGTCGGTGTTGCTGGCTCCGCTGCGCAGATATTTGCAATTTTTAGCGTTTGGAGTCTGCACAATGGAGAACCAAGTTTCTGCCATGGAGGAAATGGTTGAATCGGGTGCAGTCAATACCCTCACCATTGAAAGCTCACCCTATTCCGCACTCGGACAAACGACGATGTTGATTTCTGGCTTCAGATATTTAGGTAAGTTCTCAGGCACGAAGCGCTTTATGTTTGCCTGTGACATTGAATGCCAATCTAGTGCCCTTAATAAACAACAAAGATTATTTTTTGTCAAGTGCAACAGCCTTGTCTGCTTTTTCTGACCCCACCCAAGATTTGCTCTTTGGAATCAAAGACGGGAATAGGAGCGTCACATGATCCATGTGACACGCTGGTTCAGCGCGCTGCCCACCTACAGGGGTCATTTGACTTGTCAGCAAACCCATCATCCAGCGTTTCTTTGCAGGCCGTTCCGTCCCGACCCGTCCTGTCCCGCCCCGTCGCAAGCACTGCTGTACTGTTGTGAATTTGAATTCTGCAGACCGAGGCTGGCGAAACCGCAGTGAAAAACAATGAATCACTTCGCGGTCGAGGT